CTATTTTTTGAGATGGAGTTTTGCTTTTGTCCCCCAGGCTGGAGTGCAGTGGCGTAATCTCAGCTCACTGCAACCTCTGCCTTGTGGGTTCAAGCAATTCTCCTGCATCAGCCTCCCTAGTAGCTAGGATTACAGGCTCCCACCACTGCACCCAGCTAATTTTTGTATTTTTAGTAGAGACAGGGTTTCACCATGTCGGCCAGGATGGTCTCCAACTCCTGACGTCAGGTGATCCACCTGCCTCGGCTTCCCAAAGTGCTGGGATTACAGGTGTGAGTCACCGCACCTGACCAGGAATAATTTTTTTTTTTTTTTTTTTTGAGACGGAGTCTCGCTCAGTCGCCCAGGCTGGAGTGCAGTGGTGTGATCTCAGTTCACTGCGAACTCCGCGTCCCAGGTTCACACCATTGTCCTGCCTCAGCCTCCTGAGTAGCTGGGACTACAGGCGTCCGCCACCAGGCCTGGCTAATTTTTTTTTTATTTTTAGTGGAGACGGGGTTTCACTGTCTTAGCCAGGATGGTCTTAATCTTCTGACCTCATGATCCGCCCGTCTCGGCCTTCCAAAGTGCTGGGATCACAGGCGTGAACCACCACGCCCGGCCAGGAATAATTTTTTTAAGGCAACTTGCTAGACAATTTTCTTACTAATTAATGACATGAAACATTTCCTTTCTGTGCCTGAAGACCGACCCGTGAGCCTTGTCAGTCTGACACAAGTGGAGCCTTGGGATCCTGGGATGCAGACGTGGGGCTGGCGTGGCTGAGGTGTGTGGGTGAGCTCTTGCGTTGTGCTGCTGATTTCCTCACTTTGCACAGCTCCTTGCGCTTTGTTCTTTCTGCACAGAATCAGCTTAAAATGGCTCGCTTCACGATTGTGGATGGGAAGACGGGGAAAGGAGTCAGCTTCAAAGACGTGGCAGGAATGCACGAAGCCAAACAGGAGGTCCGCGAGTTTGTGGATTATCTGAAGGTGAGAGCAGCACAGACCAGGAGGGAGGAGTGGGCAGACACCAACCTTCCTTCTGTCCCAGAAGGGCTCCTGTGGGACCTGGAATTCCATTGATTATGTGTCATGGGTTGGTGGTGACCTCTACGTGTCCCATGGGGACGCCAGGCAGGTGCTGGTGCCTGTTCAACCAGCAGCACAAGCCCCTTGCACATGGTTGAGCCAAGCGGAGACTGCCAAGGCCCATGCCTACTGTGCCATTAGCCATCCTGGGCCCTTCATCCTTTGCAGAGGTCTGCGCTTTTTCCAGAACCCCATAAACCCCGTAGCCAGTTGGTGGCGGCGCATGAGCTGCCTTTCACGTGCATTACTTAAACATTCCCTCTGCAGGCCTGGTGCAGTGGGTCACACCCGTAGTCCTAGCACTTTGAGGGGCTGAGGCAGGGGAAGTGCTTGAGCCCAGGAGTAGGACAGCCTGGGCAACAGGGAGACCCTGTCTCTGCAAAAAATTTTTTTATTTAATTAATTATTTTTTTGAGACAGAGTCTCACTTTGTCACTCAGGCTGGAGTGCAGTGGCACAATCTTGGCTCGCTGCAACCTCCAACTCCCCCAGTTCAAGTGATTCTCCTGCCTCAGCCTCCCGAGTAGCTGGGATCATAGGCACCCACCACCGTGCATGGCTAATTTTTGTATTTTTAGTAGAGACGGGGTTTCTCCATTTTGGACAGCCTGGTCTCGAACTCCTGATCTCAGGCTATCTGCCCGCCTCGGCCTCCCAAAATGCTGGGATTAGAGGTGTGAGCTGCTGCGCCCGGCCTGCAAAAAATCTTTAAAAGTAGCTGGACATGGTGCCACATGCTTGTGTAGTCCCAGCTACTTGAGAGGCTGAGGTGAGAGGATGGCTTGAACCTAGGACATTGAGGCTGCAGGGCTGCAGTGAGCTCTCATGGCACCCACTGCATTCCAGCCTGCGTGACCCAAAGAGACCTTACCTCAAAAAAAAAACAAAACAAAACAATGAAACCCCACGTGGTTAGTGTCACATCATCTGCTGCCGTCCAGAGCCCAGAGCGCTTCCTCCAGCTTGGCGCCAAGGTCCCAAAGGGCGCACTGCTGCTCGGTCCCCCTGGCTGTGGGAAGACGCTGCTGGCCAAGGCGGTGGCCACGGAGGCTCAGGTGCCCTTCCTGGCGATGGCCGGCCCAGAGTTCGTGGAGGTCATTGGAGGTAGGTGCTGTGGTTGGGGGCTGTGGGTGGACTTGGCTGACCACTTGGCTCCTTTCACATGTCCTTCCTCTGGTGGCTGGTCTGAAAGGGAAACAGGTGGGCCGGGGAGTAGGGAAGGAAAGCAAGGTCTGGGTTAGAGGAGGGGTTTTGTCTGCGGAGCATGTGGTGTTTGCTTCAAAGCCGCTGTCACTTGTGGCCTGAGGGGGCCAGCACGGTGCGTGTGAACCCTGAGGGGTAGCCAGGGGCCCCCGCGAGCAGCTGCCGTGTGTCTGTTTGCAGGGGATGGGGCTGGTAGCTTTAGTTGTCCTTTGTGTAGAACTTTGGCCCAGGTACGGGAGGAGACTTCGTTTTTTATTATCTGCCCATTTCCTGGTTCTCTCTGTGTCCCCTCAGGCCTCGGCGCTGCCCGCGTGCGAAGCCTCTTCAAGGAAGCCCGAGCCCGGGCCCCCTGCATCGTCTACATTGATGAGATTGACGCGGTGGGCAAGAAGCGCTCCACCACCATGTCCGGCTTCTCCAACACGGAGGAGGAGCAGACCCTCAACCAGCTTCTGGTAGAAATGGACGGTCAGTGCTCGTGCACCCCACACCCCCATTGCACCATCAGAGAAGGTTTTCCGACGTCTTTCAGAACAGGTTGTGGGGCGCCAAGATCGCACCACTGCACTCCGGCCTGGGTGACAGAGTGAGACTCCGTCTCAAGAAAAAAAAAAAAGAAATACAGCTTTTAGACCCAGCACAGTGGCTCACGCCTGTAATCCCAGCACTTTGGGAGGCCAAGACAGGCAGACCACGGAGGTCCGGATTTTATGAACAGCCTGGCCAACATGCTGAAACCCCATTTCTACAAAAATACAAAAATCAGCCGGGCATGATGGCGGGTGCCTGTAATCCCCGCTGCTTTGGAGCATCGCTTGAACCTGGAAGATGGAGGTTGCAGTGAGCCGAGATCTCACCATTGCACTCCAGCCTGGGTGAGAGAGGGAGACTCCATCTCAAAAAAAAAAAAAAAGCACAACTTTTAATTTAAAAAACGTCAAGGCAATAGTAAAAAAGATAAGTAGGAGTAGAAGCGGTATATCAGATGTAATCTTTTTATTTTTTTGAGATGGAGTCTCACTCTTGTTGCCCAGGGTGAAGTACATGTCACGATCTCGGCTCACTGCATCCTCTGCCTCCCAGGTTCGAGCGATTCTCCTGCCTCAGTCTCCCGAGTAGCTGGGATTACAGGCACGTGCCACCACACCCGGCTAATTTTTGTATTTTTAGTGGAGACGAGGTTTCACCATGTTGGCCAGGCTGGTCTTCAACTCTTGACCTGAGGCGGTCGGCCTGCCGCAGCTTCCCAAAGTGCTGAGATTACAGGCATGAGCCTCGGCACCCAGCCTTTTTTTGCATTATTCCTGTTTTTTAGGGGCTTTCCAGCAAAACTCAGAAAGACCGCTAGACAGGTTCTGGAGGAGCTGGTGCCGCTCCTGTCTTTAGGTCTGTAATGGGTCGGTCTGACTGCGCCGCTCCTGTGTTTAGGTCTGTAATGGGTCGGTCTGACCGCGCCGCTCCTGTGTTTAGGTCTGTAATGGGTCTGTGTGATTGTGCCGCCACGCCTCCCTGTGCCCCCGGAGAAGGTGAGACTGGTTAGAGGGCCGAGCAGAGCATCAGCGCGCTGCACTGCAGTGAGGGAGGCACCCCACATGTTGTGACCCCTTGAAGATGACTTCTGGTCTGGCTTTGACAATTTTTTTTTTTTTAAATGGAGCTGACCCAGTAAAGGTGACCTGGAACTGTTTTTCTCCTGAGCTACTTTTGCAAGATTATTATTATTTTTTTTTAATGTGGATATTGTTGTGGTAAAATACACAGATAGCCAAGCTTGGCGGTGCGTGCCTGTGTTCCCGGCTGTTTGGGAGGCGGAGGCAGAAGGAGTGCTGGAGCCCGAGCTCGGTGGTGTACTGTGCGATGGTCTTACCTGTGAACAGCCTCTGCATTGCAGCCTGGATAACACAGCGAGACCCTGTCTCTACAAAACAATTAAAAAAATACATTCACATAAATTTACCATTTTAATCATTCTGAAGTTCATCGGCATTAAGTACATTCGCCTGTTGAGCAACCACCACCACCGTGTGTCTCCAGAACTTTCTCTTCAAACCAAAAACCTGGCCCCATTGAGCCCTCCCCATTCTCCATCCTCAGCCCCTTGCAGCCTGTGTCCCGCTGTCTGTCTCTGAGTGACTGTCGTAGGGACCTCATAGAACTGGAGTCCTGCGGTGTCTGTCCTTTGCTCTCCACCTTCTTTCACGCACATAACATCTCCAGGGGCTGTCAGTGCTGGGCACGTGTCACGATTTCCTTCCTCCTTGAGGCTGAACAATGCTGCCTGGTGTGTAGAAGCTGCCTCTTGTTTATTCGCCCGTCGGTGGACACGTGGGCTGTTGTGAATCGGACTGTGTTTACATAAGTACAAGCATCTTTTTGAAGTCTCTGCTTTGTAAGGTTTATTTTTAATCAGAATTCTAGTTACATTTTAGGTATCGTAGATGAGGGAGACTTTTTTCCCCAAGTGATCTGGCTCCAAGAGAACTGTTGACTTGCTGTTTTCTTTGTTGCCTGTGGCTGCTTGGAGTCGTGTGTCTTAGCGCCTGCACAGCCCAGTTCTGACCACTCAGCTAAGGGGGAACTTGCTTCACCTCTCGCTGCGAAATCCCTTTAGACTTACAGAAGCGTTGCCACGGTGGTCGGAGTGTTCTTTTTTTTTTTTTTTTGAGACGGAGTCTCGCTCAGTCGCCCAGGCTGGAGTGCAGTGATGCGATCTCCACTCACTGCAAGCTCCGCCTCCCGGGTTCACGCCGTTCGCCTGCCTCAGCCTCCCGAGTAGCTGGGCTACAGGCGCCCACCACCACGCCTGGCTAATTTTTGTATTTTCAGTAGAGCGGGGTTTCACCGTGTTAGCCAGGATGGTCTCGATCTCCCGACCTCGTGATCCGCCCACCTCAGCCTCCCAAAGTGCTGGGATCACAGGCGTGAGCCACCGTGCCCGGCCAATCGGAGTGTTCTTTGATGCCTTCCTGCGAGCTCCCCAAAGGCTGACCATGACGTATGTGGTCTGCAGGTTTGGACCAGGCCACGGTGTCCATAACTGCCCCCCAGACCCATCCACGGGTACTTGCGAGCCCCAGGCCACGGCGTCTGTGACTGCCCCCCAGACCCATCCACGAGTGCTAACGCTCCCCGACATGGATGTTCGGTCTCCTCGGTCTCTTCCCGTCCTGTGTCATTTCTTGGTCTTGTTTTTTGAGGCAGGGTCTTGCTGTGTTGCCCAGGTTGGTCTTGAACTCCTTGACTCAAGGGATCCTCCTGCCTCAGCCTCCCGAGTAGCTGGGATTACAGGCGGACTCCACTGTTTCTTGGTGTTTGTCTTTGGTGACTGTGACACTCTGTACAGGCCAGTGACGTTCAGGAATGTCAGTCTCTGGAGCTGTGACATGTCCTCAGGGTCAGGTCGAGCAGTGCATTTGGCCCGATCAGTGCAGCAGTGCTGTGTGCCTTGCGGTTTACAGTGTCACTGCACCTGTCGCTGGCAGTGGACTCTGCTGAGGGCTTTGGCCCTGGGCTGGCGTGCATCTCTTCTGGGTGCTCCGCGTTCCGTACGCTGGCGCCTGTCTCTTCTGGGTGCCCCGCGTGCCCTGTGCTGGTGCCCGTCTCTCCTGCGTGCCCTGTGTTCCCCGTGCTGGCACGTGTTTCTCCTGGGTGCCCGCATTCCCCTTGCTGGCGCCCATCTCTTCTGGGTGCCCCGAGTGCCCTGGGGGCTGGCGCCCATCTCTCCTGGGTGCCCCGCGTTCCCGTCTGCCTCTGGGCTGCTGTGAAGTCAGATGGACTGATGGCCACAGAAGTGCTCTGTGGGCTCCGAAAGCTCTGAGGGTGGAGGATGAAAGAGATTCCCAACAGTGTCCAGGACTCAGCGGCGTTGCTGCGGCGTTTGCGGAGAACCACCCTCTCCTGCTGCTTGTGCCCCGTGTCCGCAGTCGTCTCTCGGCATGCTTGTTCAGGAACTAATGCGTGAACAACCGAGACCTGAACGGCCGCCTTCTGCACACACAGCAAGTGGTCGTGGGAGTCGAGTTTTCAGAGAACAGAATGTCTTCAGAGATGTGGGGTGAGCAGTGCAGATTCTGTGATGTCTGAAGTGTCACTAAGGAGAGACACCTCAGAGATGGGTCCTTGGGAGGTCCAGAGACCCCACCGCCTCTGCTGGGGCAGCTGGCCCTGCACCTCAAGTGGAGATCACCGTGCATTTTAGAGGCCTCTGGAGCCTCCAGGCTCGCCGCACTGCTTCTCTGTGGAGCATCTTTATGTGGCCTCTTTGGTGCTGTGTGGCCTTTGATGTGGCTCTGACCATTGCTTCTGGGGGCTGCTCAAGGACGGGTGGGTGGTTTGGGTTTTGAAGAAATCTGCAGGACACCTTGGGTTCTGGCCACAGAGTCTTAGGACTCTCTACAGTTTGGGTGAGGCGGGTGGCTGTGCCGTGCGGGCACGGCGTGAACACCGAGGTCTTCGTCCTGTGAGTCTACGGCCTTCTCCGCGTTGACCAGGTGCCCTCCCAGGGGACCATGAGGAGGCTCAGAGGAGAGACCCCTGCCCGCTCCTGTCTCACGGAGCCCACAGGGCCGAGGGCAGTGTCGCCCGCTCCCGCCTCACGGAGCCCACAGGGCCGAGGGCAGTGCCGCCCGCTCCTGCCTCACGGAGCCCGGAGGACCACCGAGGGCAATGCCGCCCGCTCCTGCCTCACGGAGCCCACAGGGCCGAGGGCAGTGCCGCCCGCTCCCGCCTCACGGAGCCCGGAGGACCACCGAGGGCAGTGCCGCCCGCTCCTGCTTCACGGAGCCCACAGGGCCGAGGGCAGTGCCGCCCGCTCTGCTGGGGTTGCCTTTCGCACTGAAGACAGAGACACCTTTTTGAGTGACTTGAGCCCGAAGGCAAAGCATCTATCAAACGACCGTTTCCACATGACCTCTCTGTGCTGTCATGAGAAGAGCTGCTTCCGCCCCGGATTTGCTGAGGCCGGGAATCCGCTGACTGAAGGCCTGTTGTTGAGTTGTGCCAGCTCTGAACAAGTCTCTTTATGCAGAGCCACAGCTGTGCGCTCAGCCCCCCCGAGGCCCCCGGCCAGGCCTTGGTGCTTCTGTTCGTGGCAGTGCGCGGGATGGGGCAGATGCTGAGCCGGTCGTGGGAAAATCTCGCTGGGGAAGAGAAAAGCCCCAGCCTTGTTGGTTATGTCAGCCGGTCCATGGCGGTGTCCTGTGGACCCCAGACCCCCCTGGGAAGGGCGTAAGTCAGAGAGCACTGGAGGCTCCACCGGCTGTGGACGTCCAGGTGCCGGCTCCTGTGCTAGAAAGCAGTGATGGGAGCGTCAGCACTGACCACACGCGGGAGCCGCGGACGCCTAGCAGTTCACAGAGGCCTCCCTTCGACATGGTCATCCCCTGGTGGCGGAAGCTGAGGTGACGGCCCCTCACATGCAGCCACACACGGGAAAGGCTACTGTAGAACATTTTATGCTTCGACTTTATTTTCTGCAGAGACAGGGTCTCGCTCTGTCGCCCAGGCTGCAGTGCAGTGGCGCGATCTCAGCTCCCTGCAAGCTCCGCCTCTCGGGTTCACGCCATTCTCCTGTCTCACCCTCCCAAGTAACTGGGACTACAGGCGCCCGCCACCTCGCCCGGCGGATTTTTTATATTTTTAGTAGAGACGGGGTTTCACCGTGTTGGCCAGGCTGGTCTCAATCTCCTGACCTCATGATCTGCCTGCCTTGGCCTCCCAAAGTGCTGGGATTACAGGCCTGAGCCACCGTACCCAGCCCTGGCTGCTGTTTTTCTTTGAGACCAGTGTTGCTATTACTTTTCCCATTTTTTTCACTGTTTATACAATCTCAGAATTCTGTAGCCACAGCCCTGGCCTCTGCAAGGAAGGCACTCCACAACACTGAGCAGTAAAGCAGCCCTTCCTGACAGCTCTGGAGGGGCCAGCTGGGGTCCCAGTCCCCCCCACCCCCCAGGCTCTTGTTCCCAGTGTCATAGTGAGACAAAGCACTTGTGCTCGCTGCTTGCTGCCTGTTTTGTTTCTGAGTTTATTTTAAAAGTCATTGTCTTGGCTGAGCGTGGTGGCTCAAGCCTGTACTCCCAACACTTTGGGAGGCTGAGGCGGGCGGATCACAAGGTCAGGGGTTCGAGACCAGCCTGGCCAACATGGTGAAACCCCGTGTCTACTAAAAATACAAAAATTAGCCAGGCGCGGTGGCGGGCGCCTGTAATTCCAGCTACAACATGGTGAAACCCC